TGAGACACATAGAGACATAGACATAGACACATAGAGACAGAAAGCTGACACACACAGAGAAAGGGTTCTCACTCACTAGTTCACTTCCCAAATACCTGCAACATCAATGGCCAAGCTGATCCAGTAGCCAGAAACTCAGTCCAGGTCTCCCTCATTGGTGGCAGGGATTCCAGCACTTAAGAAATCCTACTTCCTGCCAGGATGTGCATTAGCAGGAAGCAGAAATCAAGTGGAGCCAGGCACTCCGTTAAGGGGTGTGGGCATCCCAAGCGACATCTTAACCACTTGGTCAAGTACTTACCCCAGTGCAATTATTTTTATTACAGTATAAGAGGAATGCTAAGATCTATTTGTTGGTATTGAAAGGTCACAAAATATGCCATGTAGCTAAATACATCTTAAAAATAACAGAAAGGCCTTCTGACCTTTTCTTTTCTCCATGAAAGCAGGAGATAAAAATCCTCATAGGTAAGATGTCCTCTCTACATCAGAAGGAAAGCAATAACCTTACCGTTAGGGGTGGGAAATTGAGGCTGGAAAAAATCTGAAGAAACAACTTTGTTAAACTACCTCATCTTCCTAGTCACTTTCCCACCATTGATTCCTCAGTCCAAGTCCCTCTGTCTTGTCACATTTTCATAATTTTACCACTCTTAATCCAATTCTATGCATGAAAATAACTGTACTACCTCTAACTGCTTCTTTGGATTCAGTTCTTTATGAGGGCTCCCATGTGGATATAATCCTTATGTTTCATAAATTTGCAATGTTTTTCTCTTATTGCTCTGCCTTCTTTTTAAAAGATTTCATTCATTTGAAAGACAGAGATACAGAGAGAGGTAGAGACACCGAGAGAGGTCTTCCATCTGCTGGTTTACTCCCCAAATAGCCACAATGGCCAGAACTGAGCCTATCTGAAGCCAGGAGCCATGAGCTTCTTCCAGGTCTCCCATGTGGGTGCAGGGGCCCAAGGACTTGGGTCATCTTCTACTGCTTTCCAAGGCCACAGCAGAGAGCTGGATCAAAAGAGGAGTAGCCAGGACTCCAAGCAGTGCCCATATGGGATGCCCGTGCTGCAGGCCAGGGCTTTAACCTGCTGTGCCACCCTAATCTGTCTTTTCTTACAGGGACCCAGATGAGAACCAAGAAGGGTAGAAAGGAAAGGAATTTTCCTTCCTCAAAGCATTCCTCACTAGTTCCCCTTCCTTCACTTCCTTTTGAGCCTGAGCACTCCTGCAAATTCTAGCCCCTGGGGCAGGCGTTGTTGGGCAGCAGGTTAAGTTGTTGCTTGTGACACCCACATCCCAAATCAGACTTGCAGCTCAAGTCCCAGCACCACCTCTGCTTCTGATCCAGCTTCTCGCTAATGCATGCTGGGAAGGCAACAGATGGTGGTCCAAGTACTTGGGCCCTGGCCACCAACATGGGAGACCCAAACGGAGCAGCTGGGTCTCTAAACAGCATTAACCCGCTACAATGCAGGGCCTGATCCAGTCTTTAAATATTTAAACTTTTAGACTTTTGTAAGCTTTTTTTTAACTTTCGACTTTGGCATCACTTCCTCAGTCCTCACTGACCAAGAGGATCCACATCAGGATATACGACATCACAATCATCCTGCGCTGTAATCAATGTTTATCTTTCCTTTCCTAATCTCCAAACTGCAGTTTTTGAGTCTTTTATCAAACACCAACAAATCATACCATAAGGCCTGATCAATTTTCACAAATAAACACATCCATATAATAATGATTTTAGAAATAAAATACAAAAGGACTGCAGAACTCACTTCTCAAACCCCAGTGACCAGTACAGTACCTACCACTTCTCTCATACACACGTGCATGCACACACAGAGAGAGTAAATGAATGAATGCCTTTGAAAATGATTCAGAGAAGGGAGAGGGTGTAAATAGGAGACTGATGTGTCACAGGAAACAGTTAGTGGAGATGAGGGGAAAAGGACATGTTGAGAGGATCAGAGGAAGTTTTCAAACAAAAGAAGCATGAAAAATAGTAGGTGGCCCAGAAGGTACAGAAGCAAGACAATTTCAGAGAAAAAAAGGCAATGAATTATGTACAGAAATGTCTATGATTGCCATTGTTTTAAGTTAGTGCTTCAAGTTCACTCTAAGACACAGTTTGTCCCTTGTTAGGCCTTGGCATGGGACATGCATCCCATTTCAGAGTGCCGGGGAACAAGTCCCACCTATGCTGCCTTATCCAGCTTCTTGCTGGGGCTTACGAACCCTGGGAGGCAGCAGAGGATGGTCCAAGTGCTTAGGTTCCTGCAACCCACGTGGGAGACCAAGATGGAGTTCTGGCTCCTGGTTTGGCCTGGCTCAACCCCAGCTGTTGCAAGCATCTGGGGAGTGAACCAGTGGATGGAAGACCTCTGTCTCTATCTCTCTCCCTGTTTGCAAGACAGCAGATGCAGTTTAAGTACAGATTCTATACCCGGGCTGTAAACTCTCAAGAAGCTGCCTTGCAGGATGAGTCACCAATGGTGTTAACTCCCCCAGGCAGGCTGAAGGAGAGAAAAGCCTGGATTTTAATGGCTAGGATCCATATAAAGTGCTATAAAGCAATAATTCATATAAAATGTGCTTTGAGAAGTCTCAAGGACAGTTTCAAAAAGTGAATGAAAACACTCGTTGGCCTCCCACTGAGACCCCCAAGAATTCTGCCCAATATTCAAAAACTGAAAAGAGAATGGCAGTCCCAGAGACCGGAAGAGTCCTTTCCTTTGGGAGACTAACACTGCCTGGCTTTGTGTACACCACTTTGCATTATAGCCCTGCACTCAGTAATTAGAAAGAGCTTTAAAAGTCCTCAGTAGTTGCGCAAAGCCCAGGTGAAATATCAATTCTACATGGCCCTAGGAAGTTCTCTGTCTCCTCTCATCCTAGCTAGCACCAGTACTAGCCTGCTGGCAAGTGTTTTCAAAGTTAGCAAGGTGGGCCAGCGCTGTGGCACAGCAAGTTAAAGCCTCGGACAGCAGCGCCAGCATCCTATATGGGCACCTGTTTGGGTCCAGTCTGCTCCACTTCTGACCCAGCTCCCTGTGGCTGGGAAAGGAGCAGATGACAGCCCAAGTCCTTGGGCCCCTGCACCTATGCGGGAAACCAGGAAGAAGCTCCTGGCTCCTGGCTCCTGGCTCCTGGCTCCTGGCTCCTGGTTCCTGGTTCCTGGCTCCTGGCTCCTGGCTTCAGATCAGCTAAGCTGCAGCCACTGCAGCCATCTGGAGAGTGATCCAACAGATGGAAGACCACTCTCTGTCTCCACCTCTCTCTGCAACTCTGTCTTTCAAATAAATAAAATAAATATTTAAAATATAAGGATAACAGAGAGTAAAAAATATTTCTCCCCACTTTACAGATGAGAAAAGGGAGGCCCAGAGAGGATACACAGCAACAGCCAGAGTCAGAGTCCAAACTTGGGGCTCCAGATCCTGGATCTTAAGCCTCCTGGCTAAGATGACAGCAAATACCATAGACATCTTCTTCCCACCGGTTACTGCTGATCAAAGACTGAGTGTGCCTAGATCTGAACCTAGTTGTGAACGTGTTCAACTGGATGATTCTGCCTTGAGTCTTCTGAAGGAAAGCCGACCAATTATCTTACTGTTTGTGCTCTATAATCTGTTTTCTTTGGGACAAGGACAAATTCTACCCATTTACTTATCTTTTGGATACTGCAGGTTATCCCACCCAAAGACAGTACTTCCTAATCATCTAAAGTCTACAGATGAAAGAAAGTATGTCAATTATCACTTCATTGTGTCTGTTCCTAATGCCCTGTTGATTTGTTACCATTAGCCCTCTAGATAAAATTTCATGGCATTCACCTCCAAAATCTGTCCCTTGGCGCCTTCTTAGAACCCTAGCCAATTAAACAAACTGACTATTGCAACGGTGCTTCTAGGAGTTATTATTTTATATTTAATCCAAATGATCACTTCTTTCTCATCATTGGCAAGTTTAATTTTCTCCCAATGAGATGTTAAAAGCACTTTGATTAAACATTATCAAGCAATAGTGAGCCTTTTCAAAACAAACTCCAGATGTCCATCTAAATTCATGCCACTAGAGGGCTCCAGAAGCTCAGAGGCAGAAGTGTAAAAATTAGAATACAACTTAAACTATCAAAACTATCTAGAAAATAGAAAAACTAACATTCCTGTGGCTTTTTTATTCTTTTCCAGTAAATATTTTATCTGAATTTTCAAGATTGCCATTAAATATTTTAAACTCTTACAAAAGTGAAGAATCAGTAGAATTCTGTAGATCGCTGAAATTATCTCAGAGATTTGAACTTGGTAATTTTTCCTTAACTAATTAATGTTCCTTTGCATCCCTTTATGTTCAATGTTTTTACTTAATCAAACATCAAGGAAACCATTTTATTTTTTACTTGAGTAACAGAATGAATTCCAAAGAAACAGACCCACCCCTAGAGGCCCTCATTTTCAGTGTTCTAGCACATTTGGGCTACAGGGGCACCTTGCACAGAGTTACACTGAAAATGCTGGCACTCTCCCAAAAGGGGAGAGTTACCTGAAATCAAAGTCCAGCAAATTCAAGCCCCAACACAAATTTTGATCCATCTTTCATAATTCCACATCACTTGTAGAAGAATTTATCATTCCTCCCATTGTACTTCTCTGTAGTCCTACAACACTACAGCTAAATGAATGAAGCCCATCTTTAGAGCCTGTGATGTGCTTCAGAACCTAACCAGTGACTTGGTTCTTTCGTTCAAGGAGTCTGTAAGGGAATAGAATGATGGGGGGGGGGGGGGGGATGCAGCTACATGCAAAAATGGGACACAGTAAGGATAGTGGAGGAAAACCAGAAACATCATGTTCACATTTATTTCAGTTTTCAAGCAGTGTCTTCACACTCAACTTCGAAGAGAATTTTATTTTTATTTACTGAGCACGAACTTAGAAAACTGCCTAAGACATTGTAGAGAAGCAAAAGGAGTAAACGGCTCAGGGCTTGCTTCAACAGCACATACACTAAAACCAAAAGAACACAGAGAAGATAGCCAAGGGCCCTGCACAAGGGTGACACACAAGCTGGTGAAGCAGTCCACATTTTTTTTTCATAGATTAGTTTACAACTAATCAAAAGTATCAAGACAAACACATTTCACAATTATCAAATGTTGTTTTAATTCTGATACCCAGTAAGTTATTGAGTGATATTAAAAAAAAAAGAAGACAGAAATGCAGTTTCTAACTAAAGTTATTTCAAACATGCTGGGTAAATAAAACACACACACTCTAAATTTCAAGACACAATAACAAAAGCAATAGAAATTCAAATATAATAGATTTATTCTTAAATATATGTATTTTGCTCATAAAGAAAGTACATATAATAACTATACCTACAGTGCCTTTGATTTAATATGTCAGAAAATAACAAGTCTCATTAAGTGTAGAGAAGAGAGCCCAGTTTTTATGGCTTTTTGATTTTTATAGTACCAGCAATTATTAGAATGCAGTGGTTGAGAAGGGGAAAGGGAGGAAGGGGAGAGGGAGTGGGAAAGGGGAGGGTTGTGGGTGGGAGGGACGGTATGGGGGGGGAAGCCATTGTAATCCATAAATCGTACTTTGGAAATTTATATTCATTAAATAAAAGTTAAAAAAAAAAAAAAAGAATGCAGTGGTTGAATCTAAAACATTATAGCCAGGGAATCAATGGGAACTGGACAGTGAATCGTATGAAGATGGAGGGAAGAGAGGCCCAAACTACATTATGAATGTACAAGCGCTGTGAGGAGGATAAAATCTTCTACAAGGTATAGAACCATAAGAATATTCATCACACAGGACTCCCAGTCTGAAGGAAGGAGAATGCTGGATGACACCACAGAAGCAAACAGAAACCAGAGAAGCTCAGGGCAAGGGAGAAAATGGGCTTTCCTTTCACATGCTAATCTCACCCCCTACCTCTCCAGATTATTGAGATGGAATTTACTGCCCAGGAGCAGGCCTGAAGGAATTCTCTTATTTTTATGCAACTTCCGTCTTAATTCAATGTGAAAGTGTTTCCTAGGAAAGTAAAGAGCTATTTAAATTTGGTAATTAGGAAGATTTGCTATCTTGTAAAGACCATTCTGGTGGTTAGTAATCTACCCCACAGTACTGTTTCGGAAAATGAAAAACAGAAAAGTTAATTAGGAAGAAGTGACATTTTTCAAATGGGTCAGAGGGTAAAATATATTTAGACCTGTATTTCAAATTCAAAACAGACTAATAGGAAGCTGGGTCACCTGTAAGAGACCACGCCACAGTGCTGCGTGGAGATTCTCCCCGGAATTGCTGAACTGAACGTGAACACACGCTTGCTTATCCCTGGACTGGCTGCAGTGCTCACGCACAGGCTCCTAACAAGGGCAAGGGAAAAAGCGGGGCATGCAAGTCACACCTCCAGGGACTCGCGGCAAGAGACAGGCACATCTCTAGGGATAGCTTTCACTGTGTGTAAAAACCTTTGGAGAACATGGGATTAGGAAAGCATTTTCCTGATTGAGGAAAAGACAAACAAAACTCAATTACACTCATCTACCTTGCTAGATGCTTATGCAATATATATGTAGTGCTTAATAAAAGTGAAATGACATGATAAACATTTTATATAGACTATAAACAGGAAAAATCCTATTTTTCTAACAGTGTATGCACTCAAAATCATACACCTAAAGGAATGTATTTTTGAAAAGATTCCAACACAAAATTATGAAGCAATTTACACTTGTCTTTTCGCTTGTACAAATATCACTTCTCAATCCACAGATTTCTCCCCCTATTTTATGAAAGGGCTACAAGCACAACACAAAGGTAAGATTCACCTGAAAATCCAGCAGAGGGGCAGCATTGTGACACAGCAGACCCCTGCAAAGCTGCATTACAATCGGAGTTCCTGTGGTGCAGACCTCCAGGCTGCACCCCTTCCGCTCCAGCCCCCAGCTAATGCACCCTGGGGGGCAGCAAATAAGGGCTCCAGTGCCCGGGTTCCTGCCAGCCAGGTGGGAGACCTTGATGGAGTTCCCAGCTTCTCTTTCCAACTGGCAGAACCCAGATTGTTGAAGGCATTTAGGAAGTGAACCAGGGGAAGGAAGCTACCTCTCCCTCTCTCTCTGTCACTCTGCCTTTTGGATAGATGAAAATAAATGAATAAACTTTTTTTTTTTTTAAATCTAACAGGTATGGAGCAGGTATTTGGCACAGCGAGTTAACACTTAAGACACCCCCATCCCATATCAACTTCCCTGGGTTCCAGGCCCAGGTCCACTCAGATCCAGCTTCCTTTTAATGAACATCCTGGAAGACAGCAGATGCCACAAGTACTTCGGTCATTCCACCTACCCAGGAAACCCAGAAAGAGTTCTGGGTGCCTGGCTTTGGCCTGGCCCCAGCCCTGGTTGTTGCAGGCATTTGTGAAGTGAACCAGTGAATAGAAGATCTCATCTCAATCTCTCTTTCTCTCTCTCTCCCTCCCTCCCTCCCTCCCTCCCTCTCTCTCCTTGTTTTTCAAATAAAAACATTCTTAAAAATATTTTAGCCGGCGCCACCATAGCTTAATTGGCTATTCCTCTGCCTGCGGCGCCGGCATACCAGGTTCTATTCCCGGTCAGGGCGCCGGATTCTGTCCTGGTTGCCCCTCTTCCAGGCCAGCTCTCTGCTGTGGCCAGGGAGTGCAGTGGAGGATGGCCCAAGTACTTGCGCCCTGCACCCCATGGGAGACCAGGAGAAGCTACCTGGCTCCTGGCTTCGGATCAGCGCGGTGCGCCGGCCCCAGTGGCCATTGGGGGGGTGACCCAACAACAAAGGAAGACCTTTCTCACTGTCCACTCTGCCTGTCAAAAAAGAAAAAATATATATTTTAAATAAAACTTTAAAAATTTAGCAAGCAAAGTGTAGCAAAGCATGATAGTCATGATGAAGATGCTTCATGATTTCAGTGGATAAGAATCCATAACCCATAAATTCCATAGGTACAGATTGCTTATTAATTAACTGCCCAGAAAATATCTACTCGAAACTAACACTTTATACTTTCAGTCATTCCTCTCCTGTTAAGACCAGAGATGATGCTAGCTTCCAGCACACAAGATTTGGAGGAGGATTAAATAAATTAACACAGGTAAAATACCTGGACCAGTGCTTGGCACATGGGGCTCCATCCGTGGAAGCTCTCATTAATGTTGTTGGACAGCTACTGATAAGAAACATCACTGCTGTGGGTAAGGTGCCTCAGGAGAGTGCATCAGCAATAAAATTATATAACTGGCCAACGGCACAAAGGAAGAAAGGGGGAAGAGGTAAGAGTGACGCTCATGAATCCTAGCAAGATTTTTCAATATTTAGCTTTTCAGTATTTTTCCAGTCTAGCTCTGAGAACCTCTTACTATAGCATTCATAATAACAGAGCTTTCATCATTCTCAGATTTCATCACAACTCCCTGTGAACACAATCAATTCTCCTAAGCAACATCTATATTATTTAATTTGGTTTCCAAGTATTTGATACTAGATGTGCATTATTCTAGACATTGGAAAGATCAGTCCCCACTGTGACTGAACAGACCGCCATTTCTATATCATAAAAAATCAATGTCTTAGGAATTTCAAAGAATCAGTTCCCCCAAAGCCTCTGAGAATTGATGGTCAAATTGTTTCTGAAATAACAATACTAACCTTGCCAAATGTGAACTCTAGTAAGATGTTATGCTGTATAATGCTCAAGCCAAGACAGCCAAATGCTCCAATCCCCATGTCTGTCAAGCAGAAGCCTACAAGGATAAATCTCCAAGGCATGGGGGAGTGACAACACAATTCTAGTCACAGTTCTGACATTGATTCCTGCATTGAAGCTTCACAGTAAAACTCTTGATTTGCACAGAAATATGCCAATTTAAGGTTATTAAAAATCATTAGAGTTATTAAATAGAGTAGAATGAGTAGAATTTTTACTACTTTTAAGATTTATGTATTTACTTGAAAGAGTTACAGTGAGAAAGAGAGAGAGAGATCTTGCATCCACTGGTTCACTCCCCAAATGGCCACAATGGCCAGAACTGGGCCATCTGAAGCCAGGAGCCAGGAGCTTCTTCCAGGAGCTTCTTCCAGGTGTCCCACATGGGTGCAGGGACCCAAGGACTTTGGCCATCTCAAGCCATTAGCTGGAAGCTGGATTGGAAGTGTAGCAGCCGGGACTTGAACCAGTGCCCATAAGACTTTATCTGCTACGCCACAGCACCAGCCCCAGAATTCTTACATTTGAGTGGCTATTTATGGCACTAAATGGGCCCAAGCAGAGACAGTTTGGGACACAGAGAAATGAAGAACATGCCTGAATTTTACTATCAGACAGATCTGAATTTGGATCCACTAGTGCTGATTGCTAGGGGTGACCTGAATGAATCAGTTCTCATCTGCAAACCTCAGGTTTTCCTCTCATATAATGAGTTAACAGATCAACAGCGTAGGCTTTGATATAAATTCCTAATTCCAGCTGGGTGACAATCAACTTATTTAACTTCTCTCTGTCTCAATTTTCTTCCATGTGAAATATGCATAATAACTGTATCCCCTGCACAGAGCTGTAGTGAGGAATTAATGAGCAACTCTGCCTAAAGTATGACATGTAGTACCTTATACCATTACCTAGCTTTATGATTAACTTGTTTTGGTTTTTTTTTTTTTTTTTTTTTTTTTTTTTTTTGACAGGCAGAGTGGACAGTGAGAGAGAGAGAGACAGAGAGAAAGGTCTTCCTTTGCCTTTGGTTCACCCTCCAATGGCCGCCGCAGCTGCCACGCTGTGACCGGCGCACCACGCTGATCCGATGGCAGGAGCCAGGTGCTTCTCCTGGTCTCCCATGGGGTGCAGGGCCCAAGCACTTGGGCCATCCTCCATTGCACTCCCTGGCCACAGCAGAGAGCTGGCCTGGAAGGGGGCAACCGGGACAGAATCCGGTGCCCCGACCGGGACTAGAACCAGGTGTGCCGGCGCCGCAAGGCGGAGGATTAGCCTAGAGAGCCGCGGCGCCGGCCTTTGTGATTAACTTGTAATGGGTACAGGAAGTACTAC